GGAAGGAGGGATTTGAACCCTGGTTGACCCACTTACAAAGTCTATGCTGTTTTCACTACTTGAATACTTTCTTATTATCATATCACAATCAAGACCACCAAAACTTTGTTATAAACTCTAAAGCCACATGCACAAGGGCCTTCTTCAAGATAAATACAATCTGTTTGGAATGCACCAGCTTTATTGAAAAATATTACTGAAATCAAAGCATTTTGCACTACTTTATTCATTATTTTTATGGTACTCCAGGATTTTTGTGGGATTTGTTTTTCATTTCACTTCTGTAAGCCTGCCAATGCTTTAAAGCAATACTTCAATTGAAGAGGGGGAAAAAAAAACCAGTTTTCCCAGAAAAAAAAAAAAACTCAACAGTGTTTTCCATCCTTTCCTATGGTTTGGAGAAATCCTCCCCTCCTCCCCCTCCCCGTCCCCTCTCCCCAGCTCCCATAAAGTGCAAATTTAATACTCAGGCTACTGTTTAAACAGCCCCAAATGTTTAAAAGAAATGAAAGTTGCAGTTGCAAAGTTTTGAAATGTTTACATCATCAGACGTTCCACCTAGGATGTCACAGATCATTCTGATACAGAGACAACAGAAAAACACGCTCTGTGGATCTGGAGCAGAGACTCCGTTGCCCTAAGAGATGATAAAGGATTGAGGGAGGGGTCTTCCAGGACTTGCGAAGCTAAGCCAGACCTCTGGCGTGAAAGCAAACGGCTTCCCTCATCTGTTTGTTTCACAGACACACTTGTGTTTTCAGGAGGCATCAGGTACTGCTGGCTCTTGAGGGGCTTACAACCCAGGTTTGGTTTAGGGCAGGTAAATTTAGGTACTAATTTTATTCTGGGTATGTGGAGCAATCCTGTAATACTGTGGCTTGAGATGGGCCCCCCTGGGACTCTAGGGAAGCCTCGGGGGTGTGGAGGGGAGCGGAGGGCAAGGTGAGGCTTCTTTGCCCACAACCCCACCCCTCACGTCAACCGCTGCTGCTCCGTTAGGATCTGTTTCCTGGATTTGGATTCCCCATCAGTTTTATTTTGGACGAAAGACAATGTGGTTTAAAAAAAGTTTGGAAAGAATCCCTGCTTTACGGCACTGAAATGCAGCAGAAAAGGAACAGGAGGCTTCTCTGCTCCCCAGAACACTGAAAGAATGAAAGCATTTTTTTTTCAATCTGCAAATGCCCAAAATGACCCTCCCCGGTCTAACCTCTGCTTTGAAGAGCTGAGGAAATTGCAGACCATAGCAAGGGAGAGAGAAAAGCTCAGGGTCACAGAGATCTCTCCGTGAATGCTACAGGAAAAATGAGTGTCAGAGTAACTTGCCTATCTGAGAAAACTTAGCCCCGGGCTTTCGGTCAGCAAATCACATTGCCAAAATGCACTTATTTACTCAAGTCCTGCTTCTTTTCAAAACCAGAAATAAGTAGGAGTAACAACCTGAGAGCAAATATTATTATTGAATGTTGAAATTAATTTTGAGCTTCCTACCACTCCAGGTGAAAAGAGAAACCCACAGTGTTCCATAGTTCTTATTGATGAGGAAACATCCATTCTTTTTATTCGAGATTATTTCGTGAAAAAATGTCCTTATTTAAACTTACGGAGGAAAAGAGTTGTGCCCTTTTTTGGATAGAATAAACCAGTAAGTCCTAAGATACTAACTTTCCCATCTAGACTGACTTCTTTGGTCAGTTTGTGGGTTAACATGTGAATTCACTCACTGGCCACTTCCACCGACATTATAAATGAAATCATTGGTTTTGTAAGTTGAGATATTAAAAACTCTTATTTTTCCTTTTCTATTTCTTCAGGGCTACATCTTTTTTTCCCAGACTTTGCGTTCTATGTGGCTGGTATCTGCAAGCAAGGAGTACAAACTCCATCGAAAGAAGAACAGAGGGGAAAGGAATAAAAATATTTGTAATCTGGGGGGGGGGTACTGAGCATTCCACATGCCATCCCATGAGCTTGTCTAACACTATGGGGTCCTACTCTGTGTCACGTACCTCCTGTACTCACTGAAACCCACCCTGGATCTCTGTTCATCTTTACCATAGCACACCCTTTAAAATGGTATCAAGATACAGAAAAGCCACAGACTAACAAGGCTCAGAAGTTTGCCTGGTGACAGGGATCTTCCGTCAAATCCTCCAGCCACCTGCCGTATGTAAGCCAGGCACTGATCAAGGTACTCCAAGTCCCAAAACAATAGAGATCACTCCTCTGTTTTCGGTGACCTCAGTCTAGTGGCCAGAGATAGCCAGCAGTCAACACACACAAAAAAGACAAAAAAGAACAACAAACAAGGAAATCACAACTGTGTCACAAGCTGGAAAGGAAAGAAACCAGGAGCAGTGATGGAAGGTCATGGGACATAGGAGGAATGGGCATGCAGCTTTCCACTGGTGATCAGGTGAGGCTTCTCAGGGAGGTGACAGTTAAGCTGAACCTGGACGATGAGAAGCAGCTGGGCAACCAAGGGCCAGGTAGAACCATCAGAGCCTGGATCTGCATCAGGCAGCTCAGGAGGCCTTGAGCCACCCCTTGTCTAGTCGTTCTGACAACCCCACAAGGTCAGCATCTTCTTCCACCTCACGGGCGTGAACCCGGGGGCTCAGAGAGGTGAAGTGATTTGAGCTTCACCACACAGCAAATAACAATGGAGCAAGATTTTAATCCAAGAACATCTGGCCCAAATCTCTGCTCTTAGCATTGGCTTCCTTTGATTTGACTCACTGATACATCAGCTACCACCACTGACAACTCAACTTACACTGGGTCAGTTCGTTAACTAGTTAGTTGTCTATTCATTTTTTTAATTATTTAAATTCAATTAGCCAACTTACAGTACATCATTAGTTTCAGATATAGTGTTCAATAATTAATCAGTTTCATATAACACCCACTGCTCATCACATCATGTGCCCTCCTTAATGCCCATCACCCAGGTACCCCTTCCCCCCCGCCCACCTCCCCTCCAGCAACCCTCAGTTTGTTTCCTAGACTTAAGACTCTCTCATGGTTTTTCTCCCTCTCTGATGGTCTATCCATTTTTACTCACACTCAGCCTCGTTCCAAAGAGGGTTTGAACCCCCAGGTTCTCTGTGCTTGCTGGCCTCTCTATACTCTCCTTCAGATAGAGCCCCCTGCTCCAGCTGGATTGGCATACAGAAATGCCATGACAATGACTTCTCAGGGTTCACGTTCAGACTTTTAAAGAAACTCACAGACAAGGAACCTTCTCACCCTCTGTCCGGTGTTCCCCTTGGATGCTGTTGTTCAATGTTCCAAAGGTCCTATGGATACCTAGAAACTCGACCCTCCCTTTATCAGGCCAAACACCAAGCAAAGAAGCAAAAATCCCCCCACTTCCTCTGGGGATGCAGCCCACATCCCCTGGAGAATCAAGGGGGCACGCGTGCTCTTCTCCTCTGCCCATCTCTGTTGCCACCATTATGAACAGGGATGGATGTCACCATAGAAGCATCCCTTTGTGCTCTCGCAGCCCCGACTTGAGCTACACAGGGCTGAAAGCAGCCTGGCGTGGCAGAAAAGCCTCTTTCTAACCCCGTGGCTCATTCCCAAGCCTGATGGTTGATGAAACCCATTGCAATGACTTCGATGAAGTACAGGAAAGTGGGTCACTCCCTGAATGACCACATCTGCCCAAAATAGGCATGTTACATCATCGCCACACAGGACCTCTTACTCAACCCCGTGTGCAATTTGGGGGTTTTTCTAAGTAATCTTCCAGCTGAAAAAAGAGGCTGCCATTCAGGGAGCCCTCATTAGCTCAGAATAACAGTCCCACGTGTTTAGGCTTACCACGCTCTGCCTTTTACCACAATGAGCCCGTAGTTGTCCCGGCAGCTCGGCCGGGTTGGGAGGCAGGTGTTGTCATCATCACTATCTTCCAGATCAGGACACCAAGGCATCCCTTGCATCACTTGTGTGAGGTCTCCAGCTAGAAAGGGGTAGGGACTGGATTCAAGCCGCTACCTGCTTGCTTTGCTGGGTCTCATGCAATGAAACAGCTTTTCCGAGTCGTACGAGGTTCTCAGCCTGTTACTCACATCCAAGCCAGAACCTTGTCACTATGGACAAACGAAGAGACTCAGAAAAGCTGGGGATGACCTTAGCAGGCTGTTCTCAGATTCAAGTTTCACTCTGAAACATGCAAAAACCATGCATGACAAAAATATATATTTTTTTTAAGAGAGGAGGCTGGACATGGGTAGGCGAGATCAGAGATGATGTTAGAAGGCTTCAGTGATAGGGTCTGAATTAGCAGCTGCCTGTGACAGGTCAACGCCAGGCTCTGGTGGCCCTGTCATTTGCAGAGTGACAGGCCTCCGCTCCCTAGACCCTCCCAGAGCCACCGGATGACCTTCCAGGAGACAGCGCTGCCTCATGGGCTTTGCCAGGGCCTCTGCCGCCTGGGTTCCTAAACACGCAGCTCCCAAAGGAAACGTGTCGCCGCCCCACCCCTGCAGCCATTTTTACTTTGGGTGGTGATGTATCCATTCAGTGAGGAGTTCGGGGCTGAAGATAAAGTTTGCTTCCCTCCAGAGCAGCAGTTCCAAGAAATCACATTTTCAAGATAGGAACCGATGATCCCTGTAACTGCACAGCATTCTGTGTCCTGCTAGTTTGGACAGAACGAGAGGGAGAGAACACACAAGCCCCCTCCTCGCTCTCTGCCCCAACCCAGGCAGACAGGAGGCTGGAGACCCCTGGAGCTCTGTCTCTCTCTGCTCACTGCCTCCAGCACCGAGAAGAAATGGGCCACACGGGTTCCCCAGGGGACGCACATGAGGACATGGAGGGGAGGGGGGCATCAGCTTAGAGCCCTAGTGAGAAGCCAGTCTCCTGGGGGCTCCCGTTACAAAGGGACCTGGGGGATAATGCAGCTCAGCACTGCCCTATAGAAATAAAATGTGAGCCCCCTATGTCATTTTAGATTTTCCAACACCCATATAAAACAAAAAAAGTAAAAAGAAACAGGTGAAATTAATTTAATAGATTACTTAAGCTCATATATCCAAAATATTATCACCTCAGCATGTAATAAGAATTATTGAGATCTTTTACATTCTTTTCTTATATACTAAGTTTTTGTGTATTTTGCACTCATAGTACATCTGAGTTTGGACTAAGCCACATTTCAAATGCTCGAGGCATGTGGCCAGGGGCCACCACCTAGGACAGCAGGGGTCCAGCTCATTGCTCCATCTGGATCATCACATACCTTCTGCAGCAGCTCCCCAAGGAACTAACTAGCTCCCCGCTACCCAAGTGTGGTCATTGGCAACATCAGCATTTCCCGGGGCTTCTTAGAAATGCAGAATCTCAGGCCGCACCCACGACGTATTTAAATCAGAATCGAACTTTAACATTCTCCCTGGCCGATTGTTGCACCAGAAACTCTGAGAGCCTGTCGCCTTCTCTAAAGGACTTCCAGTGGCAGGAGACTCCCTCGCCCATTCCCAAGGAAGCTCAGGCCATCTTTAACTGGTTCCAATTATTAGAAAAGCACTCATCCTTCCGTTACTGAGCATTCTTGATGAGCCAGGCACTGTGTTAAGTGCCTCACACGAATGACCTCATTTAAGCCCAGCACCACCCTATGATATGGGGGCTAATTTTGGCTCCTTTTTTATAGATGAATAAACGGAGGCCCCACAAACCAAATGACTCACCCCAGATCGTGTGGCTAGCCAGCTGCCTGTCTCAAGGCCTGTTTTCTTAGCCACTCACTACACTAGGGCCTCCCCGAACCTTCTGCCTGCTGGTTCCTCCTACACACTACTCAGTGCCAATTTGGAGTCCAGGAGACTTTTCCATCTTCATAGTAAAGGAAAGTGTTGGGACTCCGTAGAGATGGCCTTTGGTACCACGGCTTAATATGTTTGTGGGTTTCCTTTATTACTGGTTTCATTTCTTTTCATTTAATATTTCATTTATTGCTTGAACAAACTCTATTGGTAGCCGCCTGCTCAGCATTTCCTTCCCTCATCAAGGTTCAGGACAAGTTGAGAAATTGGCAACTAAGCAAATAGGCAGAAATTAACAAAAGCCAGATGATGTCATTAGATAGCTCAAAGGTTCCTGGTTTCCAATTAAATAAGGTAGGTGGTTAGAGCAATTATGCAAGGTACACATATTACGTGAGGGACCCCAATTATGCGAGGTTCACGGGTAGGTACCATGCTGAGGACGATACCAAACTTGCACAAAATGTCATGAGACACAAGCAGGAAGGCAGGGTGATCAGATGGGGAAAGGAGAGCGCAGATGGTCAGAGAAGATAGTGACTATCTAGCCCACGCAACTTCACTCGGGAAGGTTCCAAGGCATCCCAGAGAAAGAGACAGTCATCCTCCCGCGCAGTGGGTAGTAACCAGAGGACTTTTGTCACGATCAATCTGATAGTGTCAAACATACCAAGAAGCCACAAACAGGGAAAACAAACAGTAGTTTCAAACATGAATCCCAATCTAGTGTCCTAGCAGCAGACCATCTGAATTACAGCCCATGATTTTTGATCTAGAGCCTTCTGACATGGGCATTTCTACATGGCTACAGGCCCTGGTTGATTTAAAGATGGTTAATGATTGTCCAGCACGATTCAGAGACTACAGTCAAGGGGAAAATACACCCCACACACCACCTCGGGCCCCTTCAGAAGCAGTCCACACTCCAAGGTCACTGTCGTTCCTTTTGTTCATCAAACACCTCCATCGGTGTTAGGTATCTTCCTGCAGGACACGGGTCAGGGTCTCCAAAATAAGCAAGATTCCAGCCAGCAGGAAACTGTATTTGATTAATGTGCAACAGATTCTCTGGGACAGAACCAGTCTTTGTCACCACCGCATCCCCAGGGCCCAAGACAATGCTTGGCTCCCGGTGGGCATTCAGTATAAACCTGTCAACTGACCATCCTTGGAGACCTCACTCCTGTGTTCTAAAGCTCTTCATTGATAGCAGTAGTAATCACAGCAGCTAATAGTTATTGGAGGTTTATTTTGTCCCAAACACCATGCTAAACACTCTACTGACGTTAGCCAAACACCCCACCAGCGTGGTGAGACCGTGACCATTATTTGTATCTTCCTTACAAGGAAACTAAGGCACCAGAAGATTCGGGAACATGTCCAATACCGTCTGCCCGTAGGTGGCAGGACTGGGATTCGAACTCAGATCCACCAGCCTCCTTGCTTGGAAACACCTCGCTATAATGTTTCATTTTTATTTTCCTGCTGGGCATCCAGAAGCACACAGTGACCCCAAATGCTTCTTCTCCGGCGGAAGGGAGAGGAAGGGCATTCTGCAGCAGGGACCGCCACCTTCAAAATGCCCCTAGGGCAGCTTCATTCGAGGGCCGACACATTCATTCGCTCACTGTGAAGGCTGAAAGTCATTTTGGGATTAGGACCCTGCTGCTAGACACCGGAGATAGAAGGATGAAGAGTCTCTGGTTCCCGCTCTCCATGGGTCACAGGCTGGGCTCAGTGGGCAGAGGAAGAGCCCAGAATGTCAATACAGTGTAGCATCGAAATAAACTTCTACTGAACACGGCCAACCTGGCATCAGTGAGCTAGGCGCTGAGCCGGCCGTGGAGACGTTATACACCCTGCCCTCCAGCAACTCCCCACCTGTCTGCCCCCAAACAGACCAGGAGCTGGGCGGTCCACACTTGAGCCCAATTGCAGGGTCAAGACCAAATGTGTTAGAGACGTGCAGAGTGGGTGAGATCGTTGTGAGTTGAGGTCATTGCCATTCTCAGGGAGATGAGAGCAAAAACAGCCCTGACAGATGCCTTGAGTGTCCTTGTCATTTCTAAGTGTTTCCCTGGAGATGGTTATTTGGAAGAAATGGGATGGTAATGCTTGCCGTGGCCACATCTGTACAGCAGTCCTAAGCTGAGGACACCCCAGGACTGCCTCTAAGCTTCCATTGTTCCACTTGGGTTAGAAAACCTCAGAAGAAGGTCATCTCAGTGAAGGGTGCACAGGGCTGGCTGTGGTTAGTGGCTGTGGATTGCTGAGGTTCAGGGAGGTCAAATAAGCTTCTTGAACTTGGCTCTGACTTTGAATAACACATATGAACTGCTTTAACACTCCAAAGGGTAACTTCTAGTGCAAATAACCTGGAGATCCTTTTCCAGAAGGGCCACAAGGCATGCCCACTTCACAGAGCCCTGACCAAGGCTCTGGGGAGCTCTTTCATCCTTCGCTGGACCAATTTTCCAAAGTGCTCTGTAATTAATGCCTCCCAGAAGAGATCCTCTCCTTGTCACTGAGAAGAGAAAAATAAAAGCATACTTGCAACAGTTTTGTACCTTGGGCAGAGCTGATTCATTTTTAGCCAGCTCAAATAAAGTGCCATGATGTGAGTAATAATAGAGGCCAATATTTTACAGGATGGCCCATCAAAGGCCCTTCAAGCATGTCCATCACCTTTAACGTGCAGAAGTAGAGCTGACACAGAGTTTGCAGGAGATGTTATTGCTCTGAATAGGATAATTTGGGGGGTTTTTTCCTATGGAATTTTTGCAAGAGAATAGCTGGTTTAGTCTGTGGGGTACCTGCAAGTACAATCTGTTTCTACACAGTGTATGGATTTATTTATTCACTCACCAACTATCTATTGAGCCTCTCCTAAATGCAAAACATTTGGACAGATGCTGGAGAAAAAGGACAGAGTCCCTGCCCTCATGGAGCTTGCATTCTTGTGAGGGAGACAGACACAAATAAAATAATAAGATATATATGTTAAATATCTCATGATTTGTGACTGATGCTGTACAAAAAACAGAAACAAGAAGTGACTAATATTAAGGAAAAGGTATATTTTGGGTTCAGGCTCAACAAAGACCTTTCTGCAAAGAGAACTTCTGTACTGCATTCAGAAAGGAGTCAGCCTTGCAAAGGGCAGGGGAAGATCTTTGGGGTATGAGGAATAGCTTGTGCAAATGTCCTGGGGCAGGATGGAGCACAGCTGAACTGGAGAAGCTGTGGGAGAAACATGGGTGGGAGAGAGGAGCCTGGAGGAGTGGGTAGGAGCCAAGCCAGATGTTCCATGCTCTGAAGGTGGCCTCTCTTCTCCAATCTTCTGCCTGGTTTCCCTTAGCAACTCAACACAACAGACCAATGCCTCACTCCTCCCACTCTCCCCCACTTAGCACCCCCAGGAACACTATCTTGTGGCCTAAAAAGAAAAACCAACACACTCTGGCCACCCTCTGCTTTGTTCCAGCAGCTTCCACAGTGATGAAGAAGCAGGCTCCATGAAAAGAGCGTGGGTGATGTTCCCCCAGTGTGCACGTTCGTCCCACCCCACCGAGCCAGCCTGGGGTGGCTGCACTCAGTATGCTGCCACGGTCGTTGATAATAATTGTTGCATTAATTGGTGCTGTCCGGACCAGACAGAACGTAAAAGATCCCACTGTGTCCAATAATTAATGTTTTTCCCTCACTGCAACGCCATTAATAAGGGGCTCTTCCAAGAAACGAGTAATTGGCTGGTTGGGTGTCATTAGGGTATTTATAGATAAGCTTTGGTCTGAAGACATAGAGGAAAGCTGATTATGTTTATTTAGACTCTATTATCTATCGCTAATGTGTTATCCTGCGTTCCGATCATTCCCATTCTCTGGGTCCTAATGATACAGGGCACACTCACAATGTGATTTCAGTGACCTGCAACATGGCTTGATCTTCGCTGCAAGGGACAGAGGGGGATGGAGGGGGCGGCTGTTCACAGGTTCCTCTTGCTCCCACTCATCTGCCGTGAACCTTCTCTTGCTGCTGAGAAATTCAGAGCAAGGCTCTTGGAAGTACTAGAAAGACAGTTTCTCCTAATTAAACCTCAGAGGAGTGGAAGTTTCTTGGGTCTGTGATTATCTGAAGGGTTTTTGAAAATGTAAATCTGGTTGGGGAAACATGGCTTTGAAAAATAGCGGGAGGAAGAGGTAGCCTGGTTTTGAGATGCTATCTCCGCCGGTAGCAAGCAAAGAAGTCTCACGGCTGATAAAACCTGGCCGAAATATACATCTTAGCAGATAAGCGCATATGCTTCCAAGTGCACTCCTGCCCCCCCGGGGACGTGAACAAGGTGGCCTCTGGGGCTGCCTTTTCTCCCGGAAGACTTTGATCCAGTTGTCCTTTGCTAGAATTTTTAGAAAAGATTTCTTACGTTGTTTTTGAAAAGTAGATATGTGCAACCACGTGAATGTACTTGGTGTCATTGGCCTGTACCATTAAATGGTTAAAATAGTGCAGCACAAATACTGAAATTGGAATGATACAGAGAAGATTAGCATGGTCTCTGCCTAAGGATGACACGCAAATTCGTGAAGCGTTCCGTATTTTTGAGTTTCTTTATGTGTACAGGGAAAGGATTGAATTTTTTCTCCTCAAAACTAGCTTTTTTCACAAATAAATTATCAGGTTAAACTTCCAAAAATGATTAATATAGTAAATTTTATTTTTTATATATATATATATATATATATATAGCTACAATAAAAAAATTACTAGGAGAATAAATAGGATAATATCATTTATTTTTTTTAAGATTTTATTTATTTATTTGAGAGAGAATGAGAGACAGATAGCAAGAGAGGGAAGAGGGTCAGAGGGAGAAGCAGACCCCCCGCTGAGCAGGGAGCCCGATGTGGGACTCGATCCCGGGACTCCAGGATCATGACCTGAGCCGAAGGCAGTCGCTTAACCAACCAACTGAGCCACCCAGGCGCCCAGGATAATATCATTTATAAGCAGAATTTGAAAGCATAAGGAAGAACTGGGCTTTTAACTTTGTAACTATAACGTATCTAACGTTAATTTTGGAAGCCAAATACTTCGAAATGGTCTCTTCTGCATGTGAAACTACCCTCACGTTAATATTCAAAAATCCTTACATCAACAACAAAAATTCAAGACAATTATTTTATCAGTTGACTGAGCTGGACTTTATGGGATAGGAGAGTGAACTCAACCTTTATTTATTTTTACCATGTCCTGTTAAACTTGTTCTGCGGACAGCTCGCTATCACTCCTGGCTATAATCTCACATGGGTTCCATGGTTTTTTGTGACTCTTATAAAGACCCCAGACCTATCCAATAATAAAAAAATAAAGTGTACCTCGCTGTTTCCGTGCTCGTACACGCTATACTCATGTGACATGCTCTATACTTCATATTCACATGTCTCCAGGCATGGTGAGAGTCTAGAGACCTGAGTTCAAGTTCAGGTTTGCCCGTATCACAGGGCGTGTAAGGGGTAAAAAGATGCACAATGTCGTGAAGCTCAGTTTCCGCACTGTGAGATGGGGGTGCTGCAAATGCACACGGGGTCTTTGAAAGACGAAGGATGACGTCTATGGGGACGGGGCCAGAGAAGGGGCCCTGCGAATATCCATCTCTCCCCATCTGACCTTGTATACGCGAAAGCATCTGACCTGCACAATCCTCTACATCCTCGCCCATGCTGTCCTCTCTGAAGAACGCACTCAGGAACACTGACCTGCCTCTGGTCTTGAAATCAGCTCCCAGAGAGTTGACCTGTGCACGGATGTGTGATGTAACTTTGCAAATTAAGTGTGTAATGCTTTTAGAAAAACGATGCCCTTTCCTCCCCTGCTCCCCACCCCTGGGACCGGGTAATTTGCGGGCACATCTGTTGCAGGTGTTGGGGAATACTCTTGGAGATATTCTTAGATCCTGGCCTGGGGTCTAAAGGTTGAGAAGCTGGCTCCTGGGACGGGAGTAACAGGAGTAACAGGAGTGAGGCGGAAGGCCTGGGAGCAGGACTGGGCCTGGGCGGGTGGCCAAGGTGGGTGGCTAGATCAGCCCGCAGGAAAGTCAGAAAGGACCAGGACAGCTCTCAGGGGTAGGAAAGGGAGGCAGGCGCCAAACCCAGGCACATATATACACCGTGTTTACCAGATACCATTTACCACCTGGCCCAGACAAGTCACTTAACCCCTCCTGGCCAGAGCAGTCTCACTTGTAAGGAGAGGTGCAGGCCTGCTAAGCTCCCAGACTGAGGTTGTGCTGGCTGCTAGCATTTTAATTTACAGATTGTCTGCTGGGCACCTGCATTGTACCACGTTCTGGGGGGAACGGGTGCAGGATCAAAGAGAAAAAGAGGAGGTGTAATCAGCACCCTTGCCTGCAAGAACCCGTCACTCTTCCTACAATCTTGCCAGGGCTCCTCAATTTTCTTAGCATAAAATCCAAACTTGGATTCAAGATCCACACAGAACTGTGGGATCCAGCCCTGGTGCGTCCATCAGACAATATCCCAACATGGCGAACAGCACTTGATAATGTTGCAAACAAAACACAGCACAATCTTCCCTTAATTTATATGGTAGATCCATTCTTAGACAATGCAATGTATAACTGATCCCGTGCCAAAGTTATCTTCAGTTTATATGAATAGGAGAGTTAAGTCCAGGGTAAGATCATCAGAAATTGGCTTTCCACCCACGTGAATATCCATTAGGACACCCCAAAGTCACACAGGACTCAGGACAGTCCATTGTCGTGTCAGACTGTTCCATGCACTGCTTGAAATCTTCTTGCATCCTTGGTGCCTACTCACTGAATTGATGGCACGCCCCCCACAAATATCCCAAACAAACTCAAGAGGGCAATATTGCTCCCTTGGGAATCATTGATCTAGCCCCTGCCTACCTCTCCAACGTTGGCTTTGTCCTACTCTCTCCTTGTCCACCACATTCCCGGCCACACAAGCTTTTGTCCATTCTTCCAACACATCAAAGGCCTTTGCACATGCTGTTCCCTCCCCCGGGAAGGCTCTTCCCTAGCTCCTCACAGAGTGGCCTTCTCACACTTTGTGCCTCAGCTCACATAACATTTCCACGAGAGCAGATTTCCCAGCCACCCTACCTACTGTAACACATGCATCCCAGGCCTGCCAGGCTCAGCCATATTACCCTGTTCGTGTCTCTCACACATCATGCTGGAATGATCTTTTTCTAGGTTGTCTATCTCATTAGACTGGGGGCAGCAAACCTTTCTGTAAAGGTCCAGAGAGCAAATATCTTGGGCTTGGCAGGCCACATGGTCTCTGTCTCAGCAACTCCATTCTGTCACTGTAGCCCAAAAGCAGTCATAGGCCACATGGACTATGGAGATGCTGTGTACCAAATAAAACTTTATTTACAAAAACAGGTGGCAGTTGGGCTCAGTCCATGGGCAGCAGTTTGCCAGCCCCAACACTAGACTGTAAGTTCCTTATCTGTCCAGTTTCCTCTTGAATTCCC